TAGCTCGACTTGCTGTAGAGCAAAGCTTCAAGGATTCCTACGATAGGATAATCGTCTAAGTATTGTAGCACATGCAACTTTAGTTCAGCTTTCTATAAATATTTCAAAGGTATAGTAATCATTTTATTATAGTTGTTATCATAGGAGGTTATATATTATAGGGGATTCTTCCTTTTACCAATAATATTTCTCAGATGTTCGACGTTCTAGGGATGAAGCAAGGGTCTTCCTTCCATATCTTCTAGTTCATTAGCTTCCCTAGGTAGTATTTTGGTTACCTTGTCCCTCCCAATTTAGTCCTAGGGATCTTGATTCAATCTCCTTTGTCGTAAGGAGAACTTTTCGTAGCACGAGGGAATCGATCTCAAACTCCTATTTCCATACCTTCAAGTTGTGATACTTGGCATTTCGTGTTTTGTACATAGCATTTCTGAGTTCAACCCCATTTTTCATTTCCTCTATGAAGTCCAGCTCTCCGCGAAAGGTCATTTCATTGTTGATTTTGTTGTGGGCAGCTATGCGAAAAGATAAAATTTCAATCTCCAGTTGGATCATAGATTGTAAGCCGAAGGCTAAGGAAAACGGGGTTTCTCCTGTGCTTCTTCTTGTTGTAGTGTGGTAAGACCACAGCACACTAGGGAGCTTTTTAACCCATCCTCTCTTAAGGGTATCTAGCTTTGCCTTCAACGTGTGTTTGATGATATTGTTGATGGCCTCAAACTAGCCATTTGATACCAAATTTTTCACAGATATTAGTGAGATAGGCATTGTCGAACTGTTTTCCATAGTCAATCGCGATGGAATGAGGTATCTCGAACTTGCATATGATGAATGTCCATAGAAATCGGTAGTTTTTTGTTCAATAATCTTGAAAATGGGTTTTGCTTTAGCCCACTTAGTGAAGTAGTAAATTGCAATGATGAACTTAGCTTTTTCTCTTTTCGTGGGCATGGCACCAATTAGGTCGATTTCCCACTCTGCAATGGGCTATAGAGCAATCACAAAGTTAAGCTCTTGTGGAGATGCTTTGGTGATGGGAGCGAAATGTTGGCAACTATCACACTTTCTCATGAATTCGAGTGTATCTCGTCTCATTGCGTGCTGGAAGTACCCTTGACTCATGATTTTGTGGGCCAAGGATTGTCCACCAGAGTGGTTTCCACACATGCCTTCGTGTACCTCTTGTAGAGCGTAAGGTGTTTCTTCTTTATTGAAATATTTTAGCAAAGGAATCAAATACCCTCATTTGTAGAGAACATCATCAATTAAGGTGTACCAGGCCGACTTGATTCGAAGTCTTCTTGCTTCAGCGGGATCCTCAAGGCATACCATTGTCTTTAGATAAGAGATAATTTTGTCTAGCCAAGTAGGCTTCGGGTCTATTACCATCGATATGGCTTTCACCTTTTCGATGGCAAAGCCCACGATCTTTTCCATAATGATATTATCGAACTTCTCTACTCCTTCGCTTGTAGCCAATCGGGCTAGGGCATCGGCGTGACCATTCTGAGACCGTGGAATTTTCTTGACTTGAATGTTTTGAAAGTTCTTGAATTCCCACTTCACAACTTGAAGATAGTTGTTCATCCTGTCTTCTTTAGCTCGATAGGTTTCATTGATTTGGTTGACCACCAACCATAAGTCACTATACACTACTAGGCAAGTAATTCTTAACTCCTTGGGCATCTGTACTTCGACGATCAATGCTTCGTGTTCAGCTTCATTATTTGAAGTCTTCAAATCAAAGGACAAAGCTACGTAAAATAGGTGTCGATGGGGCTAATCAAGACTACTCTTGCTTCACATCAATTTTCAATGAAGGAGCCGTCTACGTAGAGTTCCTAGGAGTGTCTTGTAACTATTCTTTCCACTGATTCAATGTTAGACTCTACCACAAAGTCGACAAAGGCCTGACCTTTTACGAAGGTACCTGGCCTATACTGTATGTCAAACTGTCTGAGCTCCACTGCCTATTTCACCATTTGATCGAAGGTATCAGGTTTCTGTAAAATGTGTTTTAAGGGGTAATTGGTCAAAACCTCAATAGGATGTTCCATGAAATAAGGCCATAGCTTCCTAGCCGCCATGACGATAGTGTAAGCTAATTTCTCCAGCGAGGAGTAACGAAGGTTGGCTTTATGGAGAGCTTTGCTGGTGTATGAAACGAGATGTTGTATTCCTTCTTCCTCCCTAGTCAGGACAGCTTCCCTGTCTTCGGTTTGGATAAGACAGCTAGTTGAGCTAACTATTTCTTTAGCTCGTCGAAAGCTGTTTGAAATTCGGGGGTCCACTCGAACTTCTTTCCTCCATTTTCTTCAACGAAGTAAAGCGAACGAACTTTAATAATTTATTTTCATTAGTTGCTGGAACTTGTATTTGAACGTAGATCTACGAAATAAAAAGAAAATAAAAAAAATTAATTTAACGCCAAATTTCGAAGATCTAAGAAGCACATTTTGGTAATAAATCAAAATCCTACAATTTGGGGCGTTACAATATTTGTCACATGTTAAATCTAGAGATTTCATGTTAGAATTCACATTTTTATTTTTTAGGAATTTGTTGTTAAATTGAGATATTTCTACTTATTCATGCGATTGAAAGTTCATATGCACCACGTTTATAAAATTATTAATCAAAAGAGAAAATTTTGATATTAGGAATATGTTCTCGATAGATATTTACGTTGAATTCCTTGACTAACACAATAATTGAACCAAAATATGAATTGAACATGTGTAAGGATTATTAGTGAATCAGGACTCCTATTTTCTTAATTAATTTTACATTGTTCTCATTGGTTCCATTATGATTAACTTGCTTAATTTATTTTAATTATGAAAACTTAAAATTAAATTGTTTGCTCGTGTAAGGATTTTAATATAAAAGTGTAATTAATAACCAGTTCTCGTATGGCGATACTCTAATCATCCTTTAATATTATACAATTCTATCTATTTAAAAATAATTTCACAACAACTTCTCTATTGGAGCTTCAAAGACGCATTATGCAAAATTATATCAACCCTGATAATGTAAGAAGAAGAAGCTGAAAAAAATGTAGAATTTGATCGATGTGTTATCAATTATCAAGAATATGTCAAACAAGGCTTGGCATTTTTCTTACCTTGCTAGACATAAAATCAAACACTACTTAAAGGTATTCAAAAAATTCTCATTATTTACCATTTTGGACCCAAAAATATATATATATAGTGTTATGCCTGAGATGTCAACATGATGATTAGTGATACAACTTGATTATTTCCGACCTTGTTGTGTATAATACTAAAATATTGGTATTATTGAAGGTTGACAATATCTTAGGCTCATGTGGACAGTTCATTCATTAATTAGAACAAAATAGACAAATAGGCTTTGCAAAGAGTACATTCATTCAATCAATCAACCTGCAACCTGATGTCACATAGATAGGCAAATAGATGATTATTCTATTGTGCACGTTGGTTTTGACTTTGGATCGTGATTCGTGCAGCATTATAAGCAACATTATTCTTTTCCTCGATAAGGAAGAAAAGAAATTGGACAAATACAAATCTTGAAATATCGAAACACCTTCCAAAGTTACATGTTGGACATTGGTTTTTTTTTTTTTTTTTTTTTTTGCCTTTTACAAGGTGTCCAATTCTTGACTAATCATTGGGTCTGTGATCCGACCCCTCTTCCCACAGTCCAGTTAATCGCGGGATGTGCCTCCAACTAGCCAGAGTCCGAGCCCTCCCCACCCGCTCTGCGAAAGTGCCAAGCAAGCTAATCCAAGTTACACCTTGCCTTCCAAGAATACTCCTTACCTTCCAAGATTTCTCTTACCTTCCAAGAATAAATCATTGCCTTCCAAGAGCCCCATGAATCGAACTCACGACCTCTGATCTGTCAGATTTGACAGAGCCCATCCTTTGCCAGTGGAGAAGTGCCCGGGGGCACATGTAGGACATTGTTGATTTTAGACAGTCTTGTTAAGGAATAACATGCGGAATAGACACTGGGAGTTTTATTTATTTATTTTTTATTCCTTGTCTTTTTTTGATTTTATTATTTTATTTTATTTTTTATTTACATGAAAGGAAAGATAATAGTTGTTCTAATAATATCTCAATGCCCTTTAGAAGCATGCTATTTTTGGTTTTGCAGACTTACTACTTAATTTTAAACAAGCAATTAAAATAGTAATGTTAAGAGGATAAAAATGTTTTAAATTCAAAACCTTCATTTCATGCTAATAACGGGTTTCTCGATATCATTAATTACAAGATCTAGTGATAATAATGTTGCTGACAACTTGTGTGACACCGTCTAAAAGCGAATATACTTATCCTGTTTTTATGAGTATACCGTTCAAATATACACCTAAAAAAGTACTTTTAAGCGGGATGATTTTAAATTCAAACCTTACCTTGCTTATGCATCACAAAAATTTTAAATTTATTAATGAAAGTCATTCTGTATTCCTCTTTTTTTAGGTAGCATGTCATAATAGCGTGTCTAACACCGTCTAAAAAATATGCTTAAATCGTTTTTGTGAGTGTACAAACTAAATACACACCTGGAGAGATACCCTACCCACTAAAGCATTCTCATCTCGATGTTATGAGTGTGCATTTCGAAATTACACCTAAAAAGTTACTCCATTTAATGAATTATCATTCGAATACACACCCGAAAAGATAATCTATTTAATGAGTGTACCATTCAAATACCAACTTAAAAAGATACGTTTATACAGATCAGATATGGGCTCTAAATATGTTGCTTATGCATCAGACTAGAAACTTTTGAATTCAAGTTTCACTAAAATGGGTGATTATGTTAATTATTCTCTTTTGCTTGCTTAATTAACATTAATGACTTACATACATGCAGCTAAAAGAACTATACTACCCATCACTTTAAAAAGACAACAAAATAACACAAATTTAAGACTCCATAAAATAAGAAAAGATCTAGAAAAAACGACAGAATTTTCAACAGGAAAAGTAACCCTTTTTGTCCCATTTAAGAAACTCTATGGTCCCATCATCGCCCAGATAAATAATAATCGATCCACAGATTAAAGTCCAATAAATTTATCCAAGAACAGAGACAGAAAATTAAAAAAAAAAAACGGAAATGAGAACAATTCAAGACAGGCCTTTTCTGATGCATCAGAAACGCAGGAGTGGACCATGACATCTGGGGCAATCCTTACTTAGCTTGGGCACCATGTAGTACATTAAACACTCCTTGCATCCTACTGCCACAAATATGGTGAACTCATCCACGAAGCGATCTCCTTTATGGCTCCATCTATCAGTTGAAGATGAAGCAGTTGATTCTGATGACGACCCTTGACGGTCGTATGAACCGCGATCATCTTCTGCTGCGGTGGTCCTCGGATCTTCAGTCACTTTTATCCCAGTCTTCCTATTTTTGTAATATATTTCGCCGGTCTGCAAGCAAAATCCAGTACACGGATTGTATGTGACAAAATAAACTTGTGTATAATCATGGGGTTCAAAGAAAATGGCCCCAAATAATTCAATTGACTGGAAAGGTCCATGCATATATTTATTGGATAAAATGAGTTTTAAACTTTCATTTGATTTTTCTAGGAAAAAGAAAAATGTTTTGAAGAGCTGAGAGCCCTTTTTAGGAATCTGTCAGTTCAAACTGTAAACTTTATTTTGCCTGAAAGAGAAAAAAAATATATGATGGAGATAAATAACGAAGTGATAATAAAAAATCCACCATCAATTTAACTAGACCTTTCTGGGAAAATGAAATAAAACTAAATGCAAGATCTGCTATTATGGTTTTGAGCAATAAATGCAGAACTAAGAAGATAAAGGACAGCTTAAGATCTTTGAAGAAATTACTCCTGGAGGATTCAGGAGGAAGGAAGGTGGCGTTTACCTGCATATCAAGGAATTGCTCCCAGTATTCTGGGAGCGGGATTTCGGATTTGAGTTCTATGGTCTTGGAGAAATGATGTCTTTTTTGTGAATCCGAGCCACATTGACCTGTGACAGCGCCGCCACTTCCGCCTACGGTAACGCCGCTGTTGCTGCCGCTGCTGCTGCTCATTTTCAGGTGGTTTAAGGAACCATTTTCGAGAGAGCTTTCGATGGATGATGTGATTGTTTCCATGTTTGGAAGTGTGTGATTGTGAGCCATCAACTTAAATTAAAATGACTTCAAAATGAAAGGAAATTAATGGGAGGAAATCTTGATGGTGAGTTGGCGTATTAGTGTGAAAGAGAGGGGGGAGAATGAATGAGCCTTAAAGAGTTGGTCTATATTTATAAGTGAAAAATAAAATTGAAGTCAAATAGAAGAGTTGTTTTCTTAAATGAAGAAAATGGAGTAGTTTTTGGCTTAAATTTTCAAAAAATTAATTTGGGGAGAATTGTGTCTCGCTTAATTAACTAGCCAATCCAATTATTTCAAGAATAAAATTTGAGACTTGCAATTGAAAATCAAAATTTTTTTTAAAGTATATTAAAAAATAATTTGCAATAACATTTCAATTTAATCATAATTTTGTAAAAATAATTATGAATTAATATGCATTCAAAATGATAAACAAGCAAGTGGGAAAGTAAACAATAACTTTTTTACAATATATTAGACTTTCAATTATTTTTTTTGTATAAAAGAACTGAATCATGACTGATCTAGGTCCAATCACAGTGTCCCTAGTTCTTACAACTTGATATATGTTCATAAAATTTATGTTAAATTTTTTTAAAGCAACTTTTTCAATACTGTCAAAATAAATAACTTATTTAATTACATTCTAATCAATAAAACATTATTCATTTTAAATCATACTTATTTACTTATAAATAAACTTTTTGAGTTTAGCTAAACATGGTAGTACCAAACATAATAAATATCGATTTTGCATTAATTTGTCCTTTTTAGACGTTAGGTAATATTGAGTTGGAATATTTAATGAGATTCTACCTTGACACCTATTTTGTCGTTTCCTACCTAATTTTGCGTTAGTGAAGGGTCGCGGTGAAAAGTTTTATTTGAATTACTACTCGACTCCATAGAAGAAATATAAGTCTATTCATATTTATTCGTCTATTTGAATAATGTCGTGAATGTACATTGATCAAGGGAAATAAATTTATGTGCATTGTAATGATAACTTGATAAGAGTGTGAATGTCTCTCAAAACTGCATAATTGTGCTTGATATATATTTGGCTAGTTTGCATTATAATAATACGAATGCATAAATTATAAACTCATCATAATTATGTGAAAATATTTAGAGTTTGGATTAAGAAATAGATTAATTGAATTATTTAGATCAAATTTTACCTTGACTCAAAATAAATATACGTGATTAGAAATTCATAGTGAACTTTACATTTTGCATTCGGGAGAATGTGAATTCAAGTAACAAAATTCATATTTTACGTTTTAAGACCCTAACTCGCATGAAACATATAATAATTATCCTTAAAAAGTGTCCGCAGCCAAACTGGTTGTGTCTGAACTTAAAACTTTCACTTGAGAAAAAATATGCTTGCTTGAGTGGAAAATATACTGCAGTCAATCCTCTCCTTTCAGTATCTTCTCTCTCAAGCGAGCCTTATTTAGCTTATTTTTCCGGCATTTTTTTCTTCTCTTTTATAGTACAAACATGAATAAGACAGTGAGTGAAGTTATCTCACGCCTTGTTGGCAGTCGCAGTATGGGAATTCAATTCCTGAGACATGGAATTGGACTCCTTGTAGGCGTAGTGTACAGACAGCTTTTATTCCCTGACCTGTTGGGGCACATTCCGCGATTTACCTCCATCACAAAGTTCTAGAGGCGAGGCGATGAGAGTTCTCAAAGTTGGGGTTCAACCTTTTTTTAAACATGAACAAGACAAATAGTACAAAATTTTGGCAAAATCAACTTGGATGTAGATGTCACAAGCTTGTATGTAACTAGGTTGATTTTAAGAAAGTGTCAAAAAAGCACAAATACCAGTAAGCTTTAAAAATGAAAATATGATCCTGAATTCTAACAAAAATGATGAAAAAACATCAAGTCATAAAAATAACTAAAATACTCTCATCAAACTCCTTTAAATAGGCCATTGCATAATTAAAAAAAGTCTTCTAGGTAAACAATTGACCTCCAAAAATAATCTCCCTCTCCCTTCAGATATCAAAAATTGGATTGAGTTATACAAAAATTCCAAGAGGAAGAATTCTTTGAGAAATTGAGAGAGATATCGTTAGCCTTAAAAATAAAATCCACCTTTAGTAATCATGAATTGTACCATCTTCTCCTTCAATTTTTTCGAAATATAATGAATTCTTCCATTGTATTTGTCTAAGACCGTGTACTATTATGGGTGAACAAAAGTTATTAGAACCATCAAGTTCTAATTTGTTCTTGGCATTGAAATTGAGAACCAATTGGTTCCATTCCGATTGTCGGTTCTAATATAAGAATAAAAAATTAGAATTAACCCAAAAATTTACTTTTTATTTTAACAATGGATAGTGCAATGCACCAACTATTATACCTTTTCTTATGAATTCCACCATATTACATCGATCTAGTATTCAATTTAATGTGATTTTATCTATAATTAAACTCCAACAAAATAATTCATTAAATTCTATAGATGTAATTTTAGATTAATAAGAACCTTGTGTTTCCTTTCAAGTTAAAATTTTTTATCCCTTCAAGGATAAAGAAAATAGAAGTGATATTGGAACATTTTAAAGAACTCATTCAGGCCAATGGTTAAGAATTTGATGTAAATTGTTGCGCTTAGTTAAACTTGAAAAATGTAAATCAGTGGCATCAATATAAGTCATTTTAATGAATAGATTATGAAGAATTTGGATGTTGAACAATTATAGCTTAGAAATTGTACAATTAGACAGCTCACTTGAATGAGTTATTGATTTAAGAACTTACCACAAGGAATCAGATTTGATAGAAATCAAACGGTTCAGCTCTGATTCAGTTTCATATTTATGAAACCAATGCTTCCTTTATCAAAACACACATTAGTATTCAATTCGATTCGATCCTCTTTAAAATCGAACCACCAACTCCTATATACTATGATGTCTACCCAATTATCAAGTGTATAAGAAATAACAACTGAGAATTTTTCCATTTATATTGATCTTCAAAAGTCTCAAAAATGTACTTGGTCCTAGAACCCTAAAAAATAAGTTTTGAAAACGAGCAAGGAAAGTTGGAATCAAGGGTGGCACCTACCTGTTTGAAAACCTAAGATGGCATGCAAGATTCACCCATCTCTTGCTAAGCCAAGGAACTTGCAACCCTGCTCCTCAAAGTTTCATATACTCATAATTCAACCTTTCAACTTTTGAGTCCGTCCATTTATGTCCTTCAACTCTTGATCGTGTCCAAATTGGTCTTGAACTTCTGGACTCTTCTACTTTGGTCCTCTATCTTTTGATTTCTTCAATTTTGATCCTTCAAACTTTCAGAGTGTCCGAGATTCTAATTTCATCCATTTGGACCCCACAAAACTTATGAAATTATTCGATTGAACTTCCAAAGTTTCCAATCAAGTCCTTGAACTCCCCGACAATCACGCATTTACATCCTTTGGTCCAAATTAAGATTTGAAACTCTTCATTAAGACTCTTCATTTTGCTTAATTCAACTTCAAATTAGGTTTTCTACCAAAAGGAACGAACTCAAATAGTTGATTTTGACCAAATCACTTATCAACTACCATTTGTGACATTCACGTGATGTCGCACTGAGATGGTAAATGGTATAGTTGTCCCAAAGATTTTCTTCATTTTAAAACAATCCAACCGGTGACTTCAATTCTCATTTAAAAATCCAAATAGGTAAAATTCCATTGTGTTCATTAAGTCTATTCCCTTGCTTCAAACCATATTGGGCAGTATGTAAGTGTTTTATGACTATTTAATGTATAAATAGGTGTATTTATTTATTTTAGAAAGGAACATGAGTGGCACATTTTTAAAAGGTAGGGGACATGGGTATAACACTTGTAGCAGGTTGTGAACTGGCGGAGTTTATCCTTCAATTTTTGCTTATAAAAGATTGTGCTTTTTAAATGATTATATTTGTTTGAGTGAACTTTTCGCCAAGCAAATTGTATGCATGGGAGTATAATTTATATTAGTAGATAGACAACATTATGAATAATACATAAGAAATATTTTCTTTAAGGTGTGTTTGTTTACAATTACTTTTCATGAAAAATATCAGTTTTCGATTCAAATTCCTACTTTTGGTGTTTGATTGTTATTTTTTTCATTGAAAATATTTTCCAACTTTGGAAAATATGTCTAATTTCCTTGTTTTTAAGAGAAATATTTTCTCTGGGGGGGAGGTAGTTTTTGTTTTCCTCAAAACAAGGGAAACATTTTCTTTTCTACGTAATATTTTTCATGTCAATCAAATACACTCTTACTTATTTTTATAAGACTACACCCTATTCGAATAGAAATATTCTTTAGCTATAATCCAAAGGAATATTGCTATTTATGACTATTGATTCTACAACATCAGTTTAGGTGTATTAAATGATAGACTCGATTAAAAGTAAAATTAAGTTATTCATTAAACTGATGTTTTAGCATCAATAGTCCTGAATAGCCTTCACTCTAATCCTAAGTCTATTTAGACCCTCAGCGTGGTATCTAAGCTTTTCTAGGTCAAGAATGGATAGCTGATCATCCATTAGGGATATGTGCTAGGAAAAAAAAATTAGGTAGAGTTTCAAAGTTGAATTTGTGTTTGATTGAGCAGGTACTTTTATTTTGTCTTTCTTAAATACGCTAAGATATTTACATTTTTTTTTTTTCTAAATCAAGTCTTAGATAACTGCTTATGTGCCTTTGACATATCCTAAGGAATTAAAATTTGAGATTGAGTCTTAAATCATTGATCTTTTTTTCTCAAGGTTATCAACATTGCCTGTGGTGTAACACAAATATTCTTTCCAAAAAGAGCAAACAGGAGTTTGAATTTTGAATGAGGTAGAGCAAGTTTCTCAATTTTTTATCACAACTGAACAATTGATTAATCACATGTTGCTAGAACGTGTTGACATTGGTCTGGGTTGAAGCTAGGAATTAAAGTTACAGGAGCTACAAATATTTTAAAATTTTAATTACGAATAAAATTCATATATTACAAAAAAAAAAAAAAAAAAAAAAAAAACTCGTAATATAACACTCCTAATGTCTAGAAACTGTGCTTGGGATT